TTTTTAATTACCCTCCTTGCTTTGTTTCCTGTGCAAGTGGTTCTGTGTCATGCGTCATAATGCTATTGTGAATGTAATGCTGTTTTTCATGTCTGGTATGGAAAATCCCTCTTTTACGTCCTTCGTGTTAAAATATTATGTTTAGGTTACAGAAATATGGTTTAAATTGATTATACATGAATACGTATTCAGTCAATAACTATAAATAAACCAAATGCAATACCCTCTCCCTTTACCAAGTGATAAATCAAGCTTTTGCATTAGACAGTCTGATAGATGAGTAAAGGCTGATATATGATTTAGAAACCAGGTCGTCTGCGTGTGTGTTGCAGTCAACGCAAATGACATTGTACGTGACCGTGTTGCAGTGCTGCAGACAGGAGGCCTCTGATTGGTCAAATCTACATCCGTTTCACACTATGCATATTTTCTGTTTGGTACCCTACCGACTTGTTGTGTTTGTATCACCACGATTGTGGAAAATGACTCGTGAAGATGGACCAGCTAGAAGAGGGAGGTGCGTGAGAACGCTGGGACCCTTTTTCCACCTGGATCCCTGCTCTTTTTCACCCTCATGCTCCTCAGTTGTCGGACAAACTTGCCCCCACTTCCTCGCCGCCTCAGCTAGTTCCTGATTTTCCCTCTTGCGTTGTGGCGTGGAATAACATAGCGCAGACCACGCTTCAATATTGGGCATAAATGAAACATATCAGTGAAAAGCTCACTGCGACACACTGCTGTGGAAGGATAACCAGCCCTTAAGGGTTTGGTTTGTCTGACTGTATTATGCCAAGAGAGTTTTGTTGAGGGGCGATAATGTGTTGGGCTTTTTAGGAGATGTGCTTTGCACTTTAGTTCCAGCAAATACAATGTTTCCCACTATTTTGGAACAATTTGTGGAAACATTCCCTCCTCAGACACTACTGTGCACCGACACACAAAACAAGATCCATAATTTTATAAGAGAGTTTGGTGTAGATGAGCTGGGATCAGCCTTGATCTTAACTCTACAGATCACCATTAGGACAAGGTTTGGCCAGCCACACTGGCTTATGTCGTTGACACAGCGTATTAGGCTAGAAAGGAGCAGGTAACTAGCTAACAGACTGAATGGGAACAATTCATAACCAAATCAAATAACTATGTATGTGATACAAAAATACACTTCCTGTCCAAAAAAAAGTCGCCACCAAAAAAAAAGGTCATTCACTCTAATACTTTGTTGGACGGCCTTTAGCTTTAATTACGGCACGCATTCGCTGTGGCATTGTTTTGATAAGCTTCTGCAATGTCAAAAGATTTATTTCCATCTAGTGTTGCATTAATTTTTCACCAAGATCTTGCATTGATGATGGTACAGTCTGACCGCTGCGCAAAGCCCTCTATAGCACATCTCAAAGATTCTCAATGGGGTTGAGGTCTGGACTCTGTGGTGGCCAATCCATGTGTAAAAATGATGTGTCATGCTCCCTGAACCAGTCTTTCACAATTTGAGCCCGATGAATCCTGGCATTGTCATCTTGGAATATGCCTGTGCCATCAGGGAAGAAAAAGTCCATCGATGGAATAACCTGGTCATTCAGTATATTCAGGTAGTCAGTTGACCTCATTCTTTGAGCACATACTGTTGCTGAACCTAGACCTGACCAACTGCAGCAACCACAGATCATAAAACCGCTCACACAGGCTTTTACAGTAGGCACTAGGCATGGTGGGTGCATCACTTCACCTCCCTTTCTTCTTACCCTGATTGGCCCATCACTCTGGAACAGGGTAAATCTGGACTCATCAGACCACATGACCTTCTTCCATTGCTCCACAGTCCAATCTTTATACTCCCTAGCAAATTGAAGCCTTTTTTTTCCGGTTAGCCTCACTGATTAGTGGTTTTCTTACGGCTACACAGCTGTTCGGTCCCAATTCCTTGAGTTCCCTTTGTATTGTGCTTGTGGAAATGCTCTTACTTTCAGTATTAAACAGAGCCCTGAGTTCTACTGTTGTTTTTCTTCGATTTGATCTCAAACGTTTAAGTGATCGCCGATCACGATCATTCAAATACGGACTCAATTCTCCATTTTAAAATACAACTCAAAACCCATCTGTTCAAGATTGCTAATTCTCTTTAAAAATATCAATTTCACTGTCACAGCCTCTTTATTTTTAAATGTTTTTAAATGTTTTTATAATTATAATTTTTATTTTTTCTGACACTTTTTATGTTTTGTACGGTGACCTTGAGTGTCCAGAAAGGCGCCTTTTTAAATAAAATGTATTATTATTATTATTATTATTATTATTCAGGATTTTCCTTGAAGATGATGGGTCCCCACTACCCTTCCACTATTTAATAATGCGTTGGACAGTTCTTAACCCAATTTTAGTAGTTTCTGCAATCTCTTTAGATGTTTTCTCTGCTTGATGCATGCCAATGATTTGACCCTTCTCAAACAGACTAACATCTTTTCCACGACCACGGGATGTGTCTTTCGACATGATTGTTTAGGAAATGAGAAGCAGTCATTGCACCAGTTGGGGTTAAATAATCACCCATGCAGTAATTATCCAATAGGAGCCTCGTACCTATTTGCTTAGTTGAATCCAGGTGGTGACTTTTTTTTTTGCCAGACAGTGTATATTTTTAAAGGAACCTGTTGTTAAAATTTTAACAATTTATCTCTATATATCTCTTTTGAGACACAATAAACGGCATAATTAAAACATTACTCCATTTCCTAAATTTTTTTTCTTCAATCTTGACCGTTATGGGTACAAAAAAGGGCTATTGTATTATGGGCCAACCTCCGGTGCTGTGATTGCTCTAGAGCAGAGGTCACGGATTAGCGGACCGCAGTCAGGATCCGCACCCAACCTGAATAAAACATTTATAAATTATTGGGTGTTGTCAGACGGCAGTGTCTAACTTCACTTGTGCCGCTTCTCCTGTTAATATGGTAAAGCCGTCTGGACAATCCGGCACCAGGCTACATGTGATAGAAATTATCCAATGAGGTGCTGTCAGTCTGGGTTGCTGCTGCTGCTACTTTTAGACACAGCAGGCAAACCTGTGGCAAGCCGGGCGATGGGAAAGAAGGAGAAGACGTAAAAAAAAAAAGCTGAGAAAGTGTGGACTGCTGGAAGAACTGTGGTGAACAGGTGTAAGAAAAGTGAAATGGCATGCTCAAAGATGACCCTGCACATTTAGAGGATGTTTGGCTCAACCTGCTGCTGTGAAGCAAAAATGACCACCTTGATGTGTGCTTTAGAATGGCTTTGTTGCCAATAAAACCCAGGTTTAAAGCCTTGCAGGGCAGCCTAAAGCCGACTTCTCCCATTAAGCCATAAAAATAAAGAAAATAAAAAAATAAAAAAAACTCTCAATTCAGGTGTTTTATAAAATATGTGAATCAGGAAATTGTCTATATATCAAACTAAATGATTGTTGTTATCTACTTCAAAAAACACTTTAGATTTTAAAATGGAAAAATGTTAAAAAAAAAATTTTTTAATAGTTTTTAATTTAAAAATTCAATGTATAACATGAATGCATAAAAACCTCATTTTGTTTCAGTGTTACATTCTGTTTAAAGGAACGGATTATAATCAAAAATGTCTCCGGACCTTTGATGATTTTCTTTATTTGGACCCTGCTGATTTTTAATTGCTTAAAGGAATAGTACACCCAAAACATGATTAGCCTTCATTTTCTACTCACCCCCATGCTGAACAACACTCTGGAGTACTTTTTTGATATCTCAAATGCATCTGGAGATCTGGGAGGCTTCTTGCTGTCTGCTGACATTCAAATAATGGAGGTCCATGGTGCCCGAGGCAGAAAGGTCCATTAAAGTCCACAAAAAACGTTTCAATATTCCTCCATACTGCTCGTCCAATGTATTCCAAGTTTCCTGAGTGGGTAGCATCCAGAATTTACTCGAAACAAAGTCATTTAGAATGTTTTTAGAGCATAAACAGTAGTGTATAGGATTTCCTGAAAGCGCGCACGTGCGCGATCCCGACGCTACAGAAGCCGGCGCATTCAGCTCGGCAAAGAACTCATGCTCTTCCTCAACACTGAAGTCCTCAGACATTTTTCATTTTTGTGTGTTGTTTCTTTCTTTGCACAGGTAAACGGTACATTTCTTCTTCTACGCTTGCATTATTGGCAGAGCAGACGCTGAATGCGCACTTTCATCTGGTTTGGTCTGCCGGCTTTCGTAGCGTCGTGATCGCGCATGTTCGCGCTTTCAGGAAATCCTATACACTACTGTTTATTCTCTAAAATCATTCTAAATGACTTCGTTTCGAGTAAATTCTGGATGCTACCCACTCAGGAAACTTGGAATACATTGGACGAGCAGTATGGAGGAATATTGACACGTTTTTTTGTGGACTTTTATGGACCTTTCTGCCTCGGGCGCCATAGACCTCCATTATTTGAATGTCAGCAGACAGCAAGAAGCCTCCCAGATCTCCAGATGCATCTGAGATAACAAAAAAGTACTCCAGAGTGTTGTTCAGCATGGGGGTGAGTAGAAAATGAAGGCTAATCATGTTTTGGGTGTACTATTCCTTTAAGACGAAAAAAATGCTGACGTCATCTCTACCTATTAATGTGTTTTGAAATAATCTGTTGTTAATCCAATATCTACAACTTTCTTTACTATAGATCAATTCTGTCCTATTCTTAGGTTTATTTATTCGTCTCTCTGGGCTCCATATGTAAGCGCGTGCTATTCAAACACCCTTGCAGTCAGAACACATGAGTCAGTAATTTCAGAATAGAAAGTTTGCCAATCCTATTATCCAGTAACACATTACAGATGTCTAACCCTGCAGTAGCACACCTTGAAAAGAAATGGGATCTAAGTAATATGAGCGATGTTATGAGCACCAGTTTTTGCTTGATTCTAAAACAATATTGGGCTAAATGTTACTTTTCAAATTTTAAAAAAGTTTGTTTGTATTTTTCCAAGTAGTGAAAACAATGTAAATCACAGCTCTTCATTGATTTCAAGCTTTAATGCAAAGAACACAAACAATGAACTGGACAATCAAAAGCTGAGGTGTTTTGTCATGTTTTTTTCTTGTAGCACCAGTTTGGAGCAGGAAATGCTATACATCTGTTTTACTATTTCTTAGAGTCAGATGAATATTCTCAGAAGCACTCGGAGACAGTAAACCCAGTCAGGGGGCAGCTGGTGGTATGTCATTTCATTTCCATCCAGCCGTAGGATTTTCATTCTGGAGTAGGACAGAGGCCCCACCTCTCTGCAGAAACTGGTCACGTTGAACTCTGTGGAGAACAGACGGCATTATTGAGATGAATATTTATATTTTGAGAGTTATTATCCCCCAAGGCGACAGCCTGTGATCTGTCAGCGTATGGTTGATATTCCACAGAGCATCAGTTTTACTCTGCAGCGTTTCTTTTTTCAAATGTGACTTCCTAAGATGGAGTGACTCAGACACATTATGCAATTTGTCTGTACAAAATACCTTCTTCAGTCTGATCCTTCCGTCACAGAGTCTGCATTTACCATTAGAGGTCTCACAGGTGCAGAGGTAAAAAACAGCGGCAATGGAAACTACTCAACACAATGTTTTTTTACTCACTACAGATCTCGTACCAGCCCACACTGTCTGCTACAGTTAGTAACAACTGCGGTAGCCTTTAGGTTATTATGCAGTGGGGTTACATTTTCTGTTTTCTCTGCTGAGACTGTCTGTCTCCTTAGCAGAGATGGCAAAAGTACTCACTTTCCGTACTTGAGTAAAAGTACAGATACTTGTGTTAAAAAATACTCTGGTAAAAGTGGAAGTACTGATTAAACTTCTTTACTCAAGTAAAAGTAACAAAGTACAGGCTTGTAAATTTACTTAAAGTATAAAAGTAAAAGTAGAAACCAATTTTTTCATGCCGTTGCCTACATGGATGTCTGCCAATATGACTAGATCTCCGCTGTGTTCATTTTCAATTATCTCGTTGTCCATACTACTACAGTATGCTAACACCACTGCCACCAAGCTGCAATGATTTGCCGCGAATGAATACCGCCGAATCTGTCGATTCATCTTGTAGTGGTGCGTCAAATGCAACGTAGATTCCCTATCCAATTAGATTGAATTTGGTACTGATGACGTGAAAAATAATAACGGTAACTCCATTGAAATGATTCAAAACTAAAGTAACGAGCCAATTTTTTAAAATGTAAGGAGTAGAAAGTACAGATATTTGTGTAAAAATGTAAGGAGTAGAAGTAAAAAGTCGCCATAAAAATAAGTAGTAAAGTAAAGTAAAAATATCAGAAAAATCTACTTGAGTACAGTAACGAAGTATTTGTACTTCGTTACTTCCCATCTCTGCTCCTTAGAATAAAGTCTTACAGTTTTTTACTAGATTAGATTAAAAAACAAGAGCTTTGAGGTTGTGTCTTTCTGATGGACTGGTGATCTGTCCTGAATTCATTACATACAGGTACATGAAAAACAAACGGATTATTGTTTAAAAAATGTCTTATTTGATTTAAGAAACTGAAACACATATATATATTAATTACCCATGAAATGAAATAGTAGTAATTGAACTGTATTGATCTCACACTGCAGAATTTTACTTCTACATTTAAATGATCTCCTTGGGGAGCAGTGGCTGCCCGGGGGGGGGGCGCCGCACAATGGCACGCTGGATGTTAAGGGTCTTGCTCCGAGACCCAGAGGACAGGCTGTGGGAATCGAACCAGGTACTTGCAGCCTTCTCAGAGCACAAGCGCACTGCTGACCCTCCATCTCATATATATTCAGTCCCCCCAAATATATTAGGCCTTTATTATTGCAATTTGATGATAATGAATTTAGGGTAATGAAAGTTAGAGAAATCAAAAATTCAATGAAACCTTACAAAAGGATAAATGTTGCAACTATATAAAATAGAGAGAGCAAAGTACAAACAAAACAACAAACAAATACATCAATTATGCTAACTGTGGGGAGAAATGTGGTCAAGATATTTTATATTTTTTAAATCGTTCTAAGAACAGGCATCCTCTATATGGTATTCACTAAGGGCTTTGATATTTAACGTAAGGATGTTATCTGCTACGTAGATAAAGGAGCAGACCAGATGTCCTCTAGATGCTGATCCACTGAGGGTTGTAAACTTGTAAACCGGGCGATCCTTGGAACAGACAGCTCTGTTTGACCAAGGAAGTAGGTGTCTGCTTTGGAGCGTGTGGTCAGGAACATGAAGGCTGAGAGGAGAGTGAATAAAAGGGATACATTCTTTGTATTAGTTCAAACTTTGGCTCCATCTGGGGAGATGCTGTACAGATCGTTCTCTATCTGTTGAACTCTTTGCTATGTGTCTCTTTGTTTCCTTTTGACAATTCTCTATAGACTATCTCCTGGGTTCAGGTCAGCCAAATTTGCTCATCCATAAAGCACAGTAACTCCATGTTTAATGAGAAAGCTTCTGGTACCTACAGTAGTAGACATTCAAAATTTCCCCACTTTCCTTGATGGGCCCTTGGCTGGTCCTTTGAAAGTCCCGTACAATTCCTTTTTAAACATGTAAAATATAATTTTTGTCATTATTTGTGGTCTTCTGGTCAGACCCTGTAATTCAGTAAAAGGATGGCCATTTTGAATGCATGCTACTGTATAGCAGTGTGGGCCAGTAGCAGATCCTGCTGGAAAATTAAATTAGCATCTTCGTAAAGGTTGACAGTCGAAGGAAGCCAGAAGTGGTCCAAGTCTGGTAGACTTTTGGCTGTGCACCCCAGAAAACACAGTGGACTGGCATCAACAGATGACACAGCATCTAAAATCACCACTGTGGAAAATTCACATTTGACTCCAAGCACTGTGGATTCTGTGCCTCATCATCTCTTCCTCCAGATTTGGGTCACTTATGTCTAAATGAAAACGGGGCCGCCTTTTATAGTCGCCTTTTGTATCTCTGCTTCTGTCTCCTTGAACCCCAGTCAGCCTCAGCAGATGGCCGCTCACACTAAGCCTGGTTCTGCTGGAGGTTTCTTCCTGTTAAAAGGGAGGTTTTCCTCTCCACTGTCGCTACAAGCATGCTTAGTGTGAGGCATTGCCTTTGAGTCGATGAGTCGATGCAATCAACTGGTTTTCCTTAGATAGAAACTTTGAATCAATCTGACTGGATTATCTGGTGAACTGTAAAGTGCCTTAAGATGACGTGTTGTGAATTAATGCTATAGAAATAAACTGAATTGAATTGAAGTACAAACTTTACACTTTTTCCTTCCACTTAACTTTCAGTAAGGTTTGGATACAGCATCTGTGAGCAACCTTCTTTAGAAATCATTGTTAGTAAAAAAAATTTCACTGATTGTTTCTTGGATACCTGTCCAGTCAGCAGTCATCACATATTTTATAGCCTGCTGACCCAAACTTAGAGATCACAGAGGTTCAGGGATGCTGTGCTGGTGTTTGTTAAGTGATATTTACATGTTTTTATTATCTGTAAGACATTGTTATCAAATTATAAAAAGAATTAAAATATTTCAATATATCTATCGTAAATCTATGACAAATTAAATTAATGATATTCTGTTTGTTTTTTTAGAGATAATTGTATGAGGTCAGAATTCTGCCAGTAGTGCATATAATACTGCAACCAACTCCTAGACACTGGAAAAAAACGATCAAGAAATAAGTAAACATTTCTTAGATTAAGTGAATTTAACCTTAATTTGAGTAGCTAAATATATAATGAGTATTTTTACTCTTAAAATAAGATAATTAAATAATATGCACTTGAAATAAGACAATGCAATTGAGTTTTCTTATTTAAAGTGCAAATTGTCTTGTTCCATTGGCAAAATGTCTCTTTTACCTCCTCAATCCAACAACAAATACACTTATTTTACGAAAAAATGGCTTAGCTAGATTTAGATTTTTTCCAGTGTATTATGCCTTCATTTTAGTTGACTCTATTTTTAAAAAGGTAACTTTTGAGGGATTTTATTCAGAGTAATCACACCAAAGCGAGTTGACTATATCTACACACTTCTACACCTACTACCCTTCTTAAAATCGAATTAGGTTTTGTTTTGTTTACAGTAATCTCCTACTTTGTGTTGTCTGCATGCAATCCTAACGCAACAACAATGTGTAAAAATTCAACTGAAGCTGATATTTCTGCAGGGCACTGTAGCTCTTATTTTAAAGCTCTGTGTGACTCCTGGAAAGTCCTGCAGCGTCATTTTATCAAGAGTGATTAGGAGCAGACGGACATAAAAAAACAACAAATGTGAGACTAAAGAGGGGAGCAGTTACAGCCTCTACTCCATCTGGTGCTCCCACCCCTCAATATGTCCCAGATGTTCTCACACTCCTGCTCCTAACCTAGTTTCTCCTACATTCAATCAACATATATCTACACAGTTGTCTCCTGTTCTCCACCCTCTTCTTACGTCTTTTCTCCTAATGACTCTCTCCTCTAATGCAGCTCGCCCTCTCCCTGTGCTGCCCAAACTACTCCTATGTCCATATAAAACAATGAGACCTTCATATGTTTTAATGAGGCTCAGTATTAGAATGATCTCTTTTGGTCAAAACTTTAATCAAAGCCTTTAATAAAGAATGTGTGTGAAAGTTTCTACACTCATGACTTTTGAAATTCGTTGGGAAGCGGAATTACCAAATTCTCCCGAATGGTGCACGACTTTACACAAGTGAATAAAGTGAATGTCATTGGCCATCTTGGTTTATCAAGAAGGCGGGATGATTTTGGCGGACGGCTTGCAAGCTTTTTGACTGTGGCCAGTATGTTGGAAGCATCTTGCTAACCAGTTAGCAACTTAGTGCTAGTAGGTTCCCAATGGGAAATTCCATTGGGACCAAGTAGCACTAAATTGGTGACTTAGAAACAACACTGTCAAGGAACGCTATGGACAGAGGAAACATGCAAGAGGAGGAGAGTTTAGTGTCGGAGGTCGTGGATGAGTCTCCTCCGTCATCCATTTTTTATTTAGAGGAGGAAAGCGGGGATGAAGATGTTGTGGAAGAGGACGCCAGGGCGGCAGAAGCTTGGTTTGGTGTAGAAGGCTTACAGCCGTACATGTTTGAGCCCTTGCCTCGCAACGCTGCCAGTTCTGTTATCTCTATGCCTGCCGAAGACACAGACGTCCATCCCCCATGAACCCCGGAAGACAATGGGAAAGGAAATGATTATTACTTCTTATTTAAACCGTTGCGTATATTAGCTGCGACATATGAATTGTAAGATGAAAGTTGATGTATGACTGGGCAAATTTAGGTGTTCAGGCTGACGTATAACTAACTGGCCTGCATAATATATATATATATATAAAATAAAAAAAATTATATACATTTTTTACATTTTAGGGCAATATGATTTGATAAACATTTATATACATGTTCAAGCCAGAATGATTTGACATTTAAATATGACTTCCCTATGACTTTAAAAGAGTTAGTACATCACCTTTAATTTTATTGGCCTCCAGGTAGAGGTATTGGAGTGTTGTTGGAACAGTGGGGATGGTGGTCAGCTTGTTGTAAGAGAGGTCCAGCTCCACCAGGCTGGAGTGGTTAAATGCCTGAGGGTGGATGCTGACGCTCTGCAGGCCACAGCGGCTGAGACGCAGATACTTCAGGTCTAGAAAACCCTCAAAACTGTCCTCATCCAGACTGGAGAAGGAATTATTGGACAAATAGAGCTGCTGGACTGAGGGAGGTAAATGCCTGGGGACAGATGAGAACAGATTTCCGCTGACGTCTAACAGATTCAGCCTGACCAGACCTGTAAGAACACAAGGAAAACATTGTGACGCCTGTGCAAGGGTAAATCCAGACCATAGGGGTTTGGTTACAGTGATAAGCAGAGAGAGCAGATTTAAAACAAATGGATTTCATTTGTGGGTGTTTCCTGCACACATTAGCAGCTGCATGGGAGGAGTTTTTTCCCATTAATGTTGCAAGAAAAGAACATTTTTTGTAATTGGAAATTTGAAAAGTAAAACTTGATCCAGAAAAAGAAAAGCCTTAATCTAAAAATGTTTGCAGAGTAACTTGCTGTTTTAATCACTTTTTTTTATTAAATTTTATAAAAAATTGTTTAAAATAAGTATTTTTTTCTATTTAAAATGTAATGCATTTTAAAAATGTTTTATTTTTTTCATAATATTTTTTTTCAAATTAATCTTCTAGTCTTTTAATTTTTTTTATTGTACTTACGTATTTTTGTTATTTTTGTATTTTTGTACATGTTACATTCTTTTCAAACTGGGTTTTACAGATCACATTTCACTCTTCACTCCTTGGGGCGGGCTTTCCCCTCATCTGGGGAGCAAAGCCGCATTTCGATTGGTCAGAATGGACGCTAGCAACAACATTTTTATTTGTCAGGAGCATTGGTATTGGAGTATTGGTATTGAAGTGAAGATAATGTGATCAGAAAAAGACAATTTAAAAAGAATGAAATTCATAAAACTCCAGTTGAAAAACTGGAATTAAAAAAATAAAACCTGTAAAACAAATAGGAAAATAAAGATTGAAAAAAAATTTAAATTTAAACCTTTTTTCTCTTAGGAGTTCCATTTCTTGATTGCATTTTCTTCATATTTCCATTTACACAACATGTTATTTTCCTGCAACAATTATACAACAACATTCCCTCCATACAGCTGCTACAGAAAGCTATAAAGGGATAGTATAGTATTTTTAAGATGTACATCTGTTTAAAGGTTCTGTCAGACCATTTTCTGCCAATATTTAAAACCTCATCTTCTCTCAGACTTTCTGATATTTGTTTTTTAACTATAAGATAAACGGAAAACGTATTCTTCTATTTACAGTTTATCTCATGGTTTGGCTCATATCTTGAAACAGAAATTACATTCTAAAAACTTGCAGATCATTTTTCAAAACAGTTTTACAGTTTAGCAAAACACAATAGTTAACTTGCAAAAGCTCATATCTCTTCCAAATCTAAAAACTTTTCCTTCTACCACCATCGCCATCCTCCACTATCGTCATACCCCTGACCACACTCTTTATCCTCCTGACCACATCATCATCCTCCTGACCACCATCGTCATCCCCCTGACATCCGTCTTTAATCCCCTGACCACCCTCACCATCCTCCTGACCACCATGTTCATGCCTCTGACCACTATCTTCATCCTCTTGACCACCATCATCTTCCTACACGGTCGTCATACTAGAGGGTCGTCATCCTCCTGACATCCGTCTTCACCCCCCTGGCCACCATCATCATCTTCCTGACCACCATTGTCATCCTCCTGACCTTCATCGTCATCCACAACCATCGTCATCGTCCTGACCACCATCTTCATTCCCCTGACCACCATCTTCATTCCCCTGACCACCATCTTCATCCTCCTGACCACCATCTTCATCCTCCTGACCACCTTCTTCATCCCAATGACCCCATCTTCATTCCCCTAACCACCATCGTCATCCTCCTGACGACATCTTCATTCCCCTAACCACCGTTGTCATCCTCCTGACGACATCTTCATTCCCCTGACCACCATCATCATCCTCCTGACCACCATGGCCATCCTCCTGACGACATCTTCATTCCCCTGACCACCATCTTCATCCTCCTGACCACCATCGCTATCCTCCTGACCACCATCTTCATCCTCCTGACCATCATCACTATCCTCCTGACCACCATCTTCATCCTCCTGACCAACTTCTTCATCCCAATGACCACCATCTTCATTCCCTTGACCACCATCTCTATCCTCCACCATTGTCATCCTCCTGACGACATCTTGATCCCCCTGATCACCATCTCCATCCTCCTGACCACCATCTTCATCCCAATGACCACCATCGCTATCCTCCTGACCACCATCTTCATCCTCCTGACCAACTTCGTCATCCCAATGACCACCATCTTCATTCCCTTGACCACCATCGCCATCCTCCACCATTGTCATCCTCCTGATGACATCTTGATCCCCCTGATCACCATCTCCATCCTCCTGACCACCATCTTTATCCCAATGACCACCATCGCTGTCCTCCTGACCACCATCTTCATCCTCCTGACCACCATCGCTATCCTCCTGACCACCATCTTCATCCTCCTGACCAACTTCTTCATCCCAATGACCACCATCTTTATTCCCTTGACCACCATCGCCATCCTCCACCATCTTCATTCCCCTGACCACCATTTCCACCCCGATGACCACCATCTTCAGCCCCCTGACCACCATCGTCATCCTCCACCATCATCATCCTCCTTGCCTCCGACCATCTGTGTGGGTTGTTGCCTCTCTTATGTAAGGCAGAATCCTCCTGGGTCTGCTGACCATCCACCTGTTGCTATTCGGCAACATATTCTCATTATAATTACAGCAGATACTCTCCCCTGCAATGCATCTTGGGTAAAAATGGTGTGCATGTCTAAATCACCCCTAAAACTCTCGTCCCCTATTCTACCACCACACCCCTATTCTATTCTACCCTTACTCCTCCCCCTCTACTTCCTCTTGCCTGAGCGTGCAGTTCCCCTTGTTCACTTATGTGGTCAGGTGCCTCCATGTTCAGAAACTTAATCAGTCTTTATAAAGCTCTAAATCTCTATTTTTGTCTTCATAATGATGCACTGCACCTGTCAGATAAATAAACACTGTATTTGACTGGTTGTCTGAGTTTCAAAATCTCTCTTTTAATTAGTCAAGTTCTAGTGTCACCTGTCAATCAATTCATCAATTCAATGAATCAATTTATCAAACGTCCTTAGAGATTCATATGTGGTATTCATGACATCATGCTCTTGATTAAGAGAATCAAACAGATTATTGTTCATGAAATGACTCAGATAATGAAAATACGCTGATATGTTTGTGAGAGAAAAACCATTAGACAGAGACTCAACAAAAAAGTTTACATCAGCAGAACTTTTTCCTTTGAGAGATGTGCTAAATGCAGGCTAACTATGCTAATAGCAGGCTACATGTACTCAATTATTTGCCAACATTAGGGTTGCCAACTCCCTGAAAAAAAAGGGTCACATCATATGCGTGCCAGCTGACCTGATTGCCTTTACCGCTCCTGTGTGAAATTATTTTTTTTTAACTGTTTGACTCAAACCTGCATTTAATTTGATGCATATTTTTAAGTGACATGAATGTATGGAAAACCAATTATTAACCAGCAATTTACTTTAATACAAAATAACAAACTTTTCTGAATAATAAAAGTATCTTAAACATAAGCCTGTCCTCCTTAATTGCAAGCTATAAAAATGAAAATAAAACAATAAATAAATATTGCCTATTTTTGGTGCAACAGCAAACTTGTGCAAGCTTGTAAATATATTTATGCCTTAAATGCAATGACTGTAGCTACAGTTGTAAACCAGAAAAAAAAAATTAGCTCAACGCCACATTATGTGGCGATAGCCTGCTTTTTCCACTTGTATTTCTTCTGAGCTCTTGCAGCAGCGAGGAGTTGTTTATCTTTGAGTGCTGCAGAGTAAAGCTGAGTAAAGCATTGCTGCATTTAAATTACTCAGTTCGTCCCCTATACTGCTCTGTTGTCTCCCGCTATCTTTTCTGTGAGCAACACTTGCCTCGACCAATGGGATGAGGGGATTCTGGACCTTTTTATATATGTTGTCAGCTCATTGGTCACAACGTAGGACAGGGAACAAGTTTACCGTATGTTTTGTATCTAAAGTCCCCTTGTTCTTCATTTTCCATAAGCTTTTTACTGACTTTTTTTTTACTCTAAGCATGTGTAGAGATATTGAAAATACGACAAACAGAATGAGAAATCCAATTCTGTCCGTAAGAGTTGCCAAGAGGAATGGAGGTTTGTTCATGTTATTTGGAGAATGTAATTTCTTTTCTAAGAAATTACCAAAACCAAAGGAGAAAAAAAACTGTAAAATAGTTTTATGATAAATTTGGTCTTAGGAAGGTTTCTATATAAAACTACCACATGGGATTGTTCAGTTTCTCTTCCAGATTTAAGAACACATGACAAATCCCATCACCTTTGAGGTCTGCCTCTGTGATGGTCTGCAGTCTGTTCCCCTGCAGTAACAGCACCGATAGATATTCCAGGTTCTGAAACGCTCCTGGGCTGATGCTGCTGATAAGGTTGTTGGCCAGTCGCAGCTGTTTGAGCCCGGCCGGTAGACCGTTAGGCACTGAAGTCAGGTGGTTGTTGTTTGCAAAAAAGTAGCGCAGGTCTTTCTGGTTCTCCAGGGATCCTATCTCCAGGTTTTCACTCTTGAGCTGATTATTGTCGATGATCAGCCAGCGCAGACCGGTAATATTAGCCAGGATGGAGGAGGACAGAGATGAGATGTTGTTGGCCTGAGAACAAGGAAAACACAACTCTACATATGTTAGGTTTTATTTGTTATAGTAAAAAATGTGAAAATAAAGATGCCTGTACAAACTTCCATAGAAAACATTGTGGCATTTCAGGAAGTAAGTGCTTTAAATCCCAGCGAAGATCTTTTATTAACCTCTTACACCCTAAGGGGGTATAAATAAATTTCTGCCTGACAAAAACACACAAAAGTAAATAACTTATAGCCTCAAAGCTATTAGATTTAAGAAGAAACTTCTGGTACGTCTGTAAAGGTAAGATGTCATAGAATGGTTTTCTGGTGTCAGCACCATTGTAGCTTTGACCCTGCCTGAAATATTAGGGACAAAATACAAAATATTTTGCATTTTTTGAACCTCGCCAAAATTTTCTTTGAAATAAACATTGCAAAACACTACCAAAATATTATTTATAGCACAAAAAAGTAGTACAGACTTTCAAATCTAAATGTTGTGTAAAAATATACCAAATTTGGACTCAATCAGATGAATCATATTTATTTTAGAATGGTATTAGTGAGAAATTTCTTAGGCGGAGAGGCCATTTTGGCACATTTATCCATAAATGTCACCAAACTGTGCCAAATATGCCTTCTGTAAGAATACGATGAAAGCTTCCAAAAATGCATTTTGTAAAATAACAACAATAATAATCAAAACAAGAAATATTACTCCTTTTTTTACCACCAGCATGCAGAATGGTTTAGCTATGACTTGTTTTTTTTGTTTTTTTTGTAGCTCTGAGGACAACTGTTGAATAATAAACCTACAATGTGTTGCGTTTTTAGCACCGAGCAGTATGAAGTGTGGACCAGGATGAACACAGTAGACTTCTTAATCACATAAACAGAACATTTCATGATAAATTCAGCACATATTTTACTTTTGTGTGAGTGAATATATCTCTTTTTTTAAGTAAAGAAGTAAAGGTCCAGCTTTTGGGTCTAATTTAACAAAATTTCAGTAAAAGTCTAAGCCTAAAAAATACCCGGTAAAGTACAGATATTACTATACACCTCTGGAAAAACTAACCCTGACAGGATTAAACTGCAAAAATGTTTGAGGAAACATCAACCTTTCTGCCTGTTTGTAGTTATGTGAATACAGAATTATAATGGAAGCACTTAGCCCTCGTCTGTTGAACAGAGCCATGGCCTGTTTTACCAAATGATGCTATTTTGAAACAGTTGCAAAGATTGAAAGACAAAAATAAAATAACCGCAGAAATATAATTTTTTTCTACCTGTAGAAACAAGTATTGGGTTCTTGGTGGCAGTCCTTCAGGGATGTGTTCGAGAGCTATGTTGTCACAGTAGAGCGATGTTGGCCACTGGATTGGACACACACACTGCTCAGGACAGAACTGGGGGTTGTTGGCCCGAAACCAGGCCGGGTCCATCCTTCCCTGGAGACTTAAAACGCTGGGCTCACCAAGCAGGCGGTTTATCCACAGAGGAATGCCTCCATAGTCCATGTCGGTGACTAACATGGCCTGGGCAGCATCAGAGGCACAGAACAGCACCAACACACCACAGAGCCAGAGAGCCATGGAGCCAGAGTATGAGATGCACAATTCTGTTAAAGAATCAAAAGAGAACATGACTTTTTGACCAAGATAGTGAACAATTTCCACCAATCCCAGAGAAGCGCATGTGCAGTATTCAGAAAGGATAGTGTGCTGTGCTTTGGGCAATTTGCAAAGTTGCAGCTTAACTGATGTCACAGTGCTTAGAGCTTAATTTAAACTGCAGGAAGTTCACTTCAATCTGAAAACTACTCCTATAGGTACACATAGTTGAGGTAGCATTAAGCTTTTAAAAAGGCATTTCTTCAGCTAGCCAGAAATGTTGAAAAGCTGAGTGTTACTAAATAAAGGTCAAGCATGAAACAGAAGCTGTAAGAGGCTGCAAATGGCTCAATAATGAGCACACAATGTACCTTTTCGTTTATCATCCATAAACACAAGGTTTCATTCCACTACTATGCAGACGATACACAATTATACACAAAAATGGACTCCCCACTACCCTCAGCCTTAACCTTTTGCATTTCTGGTCTGCGTGGAGGAGATAAGGGCATGGATGTCTGACACATTCCCTCAATTAAACAGCATCAAATCCAAAGCCATCCTGATCGGCACCCCACATCAAACCCAGTCCTCCTTCCTCACCAGTATACCAATTCTTGGCCATCACAGTCCTCTGTTCACCTGTGTTACAAACCTTTGAGTCAAACTTGCCTCAAATTCTCACGTTTCACACCCATGTCCGCCACCTCTATAAGGTTTCCTTCCTCCATCTTAAAAACATCGGCAAATTTCGTTCTTCCCTCTCCCAACCGGATGGTGAGAAGTTGATCCATGCTTTTATCTCCTCCAAGTTGGATTACTGAAATGCCCTTCTCATCTGGATCGCTATCAGGAGCCTGCAAAAGCTCCCGCATATTCAAAATTGTGCTGCCCGGGTCCACATCACCCCGCTGCTGAAATCAAGGGACTGGCTGCTGATTCAACACAGCACCCGCTAGAAAATCTGTCTCCTCACCCATCATTGCATACATGGAACTGGCCCTACCTACCTCAGTGATCTCCTTAACCCGCACACCAACCCATGAAACATCTGCTCCTCCACTTCTACCTACTTCCTGCACCAACCCAGGACCAAATCTCCACTATGGGAGAAAGGGCCTTCCAGGCAGTCGCCCAACATCTATAGGATGTCCTCCCAGAGAACCTCAGGGCCCCAAAAACTGTGGAGGTGTTCAAAAAAGCACCTGAAAACATTCTTATTTAAAAAGGCCTTGTAATACTTAAGGTCTCAATTTTATTCTTATGGAGTTTTATTGTGTTTTTGTATTTATTATACATTGTGAACTATTTTTAACCTCCTTCTATAGCACTTTGAGATTTTATTTAAAATGTTAAGTGCATTATAATTTTATATATTTATAAATTTTGTATTATTATTGATACCTTTCATCAGAACATCTATAAATGCAGTATAAAGCAAGGGCATATTGTTTGATGGAATGGCCTAATAAAACTCTAAACCATTGTTAGTTGACTTAAAGGTCAATAATAACAGGCGGTATGCATCCCATTTGGAGGGTCTTTGAATTTGTTGGGGGGAGGGGACACATTTCAGAAAGAATTAGCTAAATTTCAGTGCTTAGATGTGCAGATGTGGCAGTGAAACACTCATAGCACAACATAACTGAAAAAGAAGCTGAAGTTGTGGCAAGTGGCCTGTGCTTCTATAGCACCTTTTCATGTCGAAGAACTCCCAAGCATTTTATATTATGTTCAGTCAGTCCCCCATTCATACACTGTAGGCACAGCTGCCCTATGGCACACTGACAAATGCGGGGCTGCAGTACACAGGGGCCATCATGCCTCCGACCGCCATGGGAGGCAATGTGGGGGAGGAGGAGTCTTCCCAGAAGACACAAAGACTAAGCTGGACGGAGGTAAGGTGTGAACAGGCAACCCTCCTGCCCTACTGTCACCCTTCTGATGTTGAACCCATTTAGAGGTGAGCTTGTAAAGAGCCAACATTTTAAAAATATGACTTATCTCACAGATGAGGAACACTTTAATTAGAACCTCTATTGCAATGCTACATCAGTGTAATGGTTATTTACCAGCATTTGCATTAGTTGTTCTGAATTCAGCCGCATGACTATCTGTTAGTTTAATGCTGCAGCTGCAGAGCAGAAGCTTGGCTGGACATCACAGCGGTCTCTGTATTGAGCTCCTGAATTTACCATGCCAAATAGGGAAAGCCAGGTGCCAGAAAGAGAAAAGCTGCCACACTCACTTGACTTGTGAAAACATGACAGCTAAACAGAAACAGAGGGTTTAGTTTTAGCATAATTTTAACAGTAAGGGACAGTCTGGTTGCACCTTTCTGTGTGACTGACTTTCTGCTCACCAACACTGCAGCTGCATAGGGGAAGGACAGCAGAATTACGTTGTTCAGTGCGAACCTGGTATAACTATTGACTGGACACCTCTTAATGTTTCACCAAACTGTTGTACAGTAATTCAAATCAATTCAGTTTATTTATATTGCACCAATTCACAACACATGTCATCTCAAGGCACTTTACAGTTCACTAGATCATCCAGTCAAATTGATTTAAAGTTTTCTATCTAAGGGAAACCAGTTGAATGCAGCGACTCATTGACTCAAAGGCAATCCCTCCCAGTATTATTAGGAAACTGTGCTTTTTCTAAGTTGATCTGATTTGGTTAGGGCTGACATGAGGTGTGTCCATCAGAGCTCCTCCAGGTTCAGGATGGAGTTACGGCCATCATGAAAAAGAGAATCCTCCTGTAGAACCTGAATTGCTGATAAAAGTCTTTGAACATAACATTTTGAGCTCAAATTTAAACATGTCACACATGGAAAATTCAATGAGTAGGATTGAATGCGACTGCCTCGAGTATGGAAAGCAAAAAGTGCCACAATTTTAATTTAATTTAATATGTTGGGGGAAATATTTCTATTTGTATAAGTCATTGTTTTGATTTGACCTGTAAACCACGTATCATATTAGCAAAGTATATCTATTTTTCAAAATTATAGTTTTCTTAATAATTTTTAAAAATGAGTAATTATTAAATACACAATTTTACTTAAAGGAATAGTACACCCAAAACATGATTAGCCTTCATTTTCTACTCACCCCCATGCTGAACAACACTCTGGAGTACTTTTTTGATATCTCAAATGCATCTGGAGATCTGGGAGGCTTCTTGCTGTCTGCTGACATTCAAATAATGGAGGTCTATGGTGTCCGAGACAGAAAGGTCCATAAAAGTCCACAAAAACGTTTCAATATTCCTCCATACTTCTCGTCCAATGTATTCCAAATTTCCTGAGTGGGTAGCATCCAGAATTTACTCGAAACGAAGTCATTTAGAATGTTTTTAGAGCATAAACAGTAGTGTATAGGATTTCCTTAAAGCGCGCACATGCGCGTTCACGACGCTACGGAAGCCGGCAGACCAAACCAGATGAAAGTGCGCATTCAGCGTCTGCTCTTCCAATAATGCAAGCGTAGAAGAAGAAATGTGCCGTTTACCTGTGCAAAGAAAGAAACAACGAAAGAAAAATGTCTGAGGACTTCAGTGTTGAGGAAGAGCATGAGTTCTTTGCCGAGCTGAATGCGCTGGTTTGGTCTGCCGGCTTCCGTAGCGTCGGGATCGCGCAGGTGCGCGCTTTCAGGAAATCCTATACACTACTGTTTATGCTCTAAAAACATTCTAAATGACTTCGTTTCGAGTAAATTCTGGATGCTACCCACTCAGGACACTTGGAATACATTGGACGAGCAGTATGGAGGAATATTGAAACGTTTTTTGTGGACTTTTATGGACCTTTCTGCCTCGGGCGCTGGGCACCTCCATTATTTGAATGTCAGCAGACAGCAAGAAGCCTCCCAGATCTCCAGATGCATTTGAGATATCAAAAAAGTACTCCAGGGTGTTGTTCAGCATGGGGGTGAGTAGAAAATGAAGGCTAATCATGTTTTGGGTGTACTATTCCTTTAAGGACCACGTGTCATTATCTGCTACTACGCACTTTTGCAAGTTTTTATTTTTGGTTCTCAGTTGTACTTTATTTTATGTTATTCTGTTTTGTCAAGACATATCATTTCTGCTATTTATCCTTGGTCTAGTTTAAGTTATTTTCTAGCTACAGTTAAGCCCTGTTATGCCTGGTTGCTCTTTGTTGCCGCCTGTTGCCCTTTTCATTTCCCATTGGCTCCTTTCTAGCTACTTCTTCCATACCTGCTCCCAATTAACTGATAATCACTCTTGGTTCTGTCTCCCATATATAATAATCTCTGCAGTTAATCAGTGCTGCTTTCCCTTCATTACCTATTCCTCATGTGTGTTTCTCTCTAGTATCGTTTTTGGAATTATGCTTCTGTTGCCATTCTTTCCTTTAAATAAATCAGCAAAACTCATCTATGCATTTGTGTCCTCAACCAACCTCCACCCTACCTTAACACTATAGACCAAAGACATCATTAATGTATTTTATCTCTAGCCGTACAATTGGTACAGTAGTGGCCATTCAAAACGTCCCCACTTTTCTTGTCTGGTCCTTTGGTGGTCCCCTATAGTTCCTTTTTAAACGTCAATCTTTGTGCTAAAATATTCTTTCTGTCATGGTTTGTGGACATTAAGTACTAAAGAGAAGCTTCATATCCTGGTCAGACTCTGTAATTCAGCGAAGGGGTGGGGTCAGAGTAAAAAAACTATGCACGCCCAGGAGAAGGAGGGGGTCACTTCAGTGGTTGGACGTTAGAGGGGATTTTTCTGGGAGTTGCAGGGAATTGGGCTGCCATTAGGCTGGTGTTTGACAGGGAAGGGCCATTTTGAATGGCTGCTACTGTAGAAGGCAGTAAGTCATAATAACTTATTTGTAAGGTGATCTGCATGACTTTCCTGATGAGCTTTAACATACGAAGCCGAGATGGTTACTGAAGAAAAAGATTTACGTTTTAGGCCACTGCCAAATATTTGATCAATATTTGATTAGGTTCCCCATAACTACATGAACAGATCAGTAAATTTAAGTATGAGGTATAAAAATTCAATAGGCTAAAATGAAACTAGGTGGGAGTGTGGAAAATGAAACCTGACAGGTAGAGGCCCATATCCAAAGTTTATTTCCTGGGTCCCAGCCTGGGCCCAGGAAATAAAAGTTTATAACGACTTTGTATCAATATCATTGATATTTTTGATTCCCATCTCTAGGCGACACAAATGACACTGACTTCCCTCCTTAAAGCTAACAAACATTCCCTTTGATACCAGTTGACATATCGTACGATCGATAATATTAAAGGATTTCACAACTAAAAAACCTTTTCATACACATATATGAGCCAAACTTTGCAGGTTACTTTGAATTCAACCATCTTTATTTCTTTTTTTTTTCTTTTTATAAAAAACTGCAAAGGGTAAAACTCATTAATACTTGTTTGATTTTGCAGTATACAGGTACCTACTTCAAAAAATATCCACTGAGTGGATATTTTTTGAACTTTTACGGAATGACTATGACCTGGATGACTGAGAATCTTCATCAGCATACCTACTTAGGCATGGAAAATACACCAGAGGAAATAGTGCATGGATGCTTACAGTAATACAGTAAAAGAAAAGCTGTTCCCAGCTGTTCAAACACAAATGGTTTCTTTTATGCAGCCGTAATTTGCAGGACAGGTTTGAATAATGAGGAACTTGATTAACATGTTTGCAACGGTTTCTCTCAGAACACTGCAAAGAGTTTACTGTAATGTAACAAGTGTGCATTCTAGCTGTGATCATTTCCAGCTTAGCCAGCCTCAAACAAACAGGAAACAGAGGCGGACGAGAAACGAAGAGCAATAAGTGACACTTACCTGTTTGATCAGCCGCTACAGTA